TGAGCTGCATGATTTAATACACACACTTCAAAGACAGTCACGTCCTTCATGAATTTAACATTTATGTTAAGGTATAATAGAAAAAATAATTATATGCAATTTATACCAAAAAATAGTTTACATAGTTTCTCTCCCTTTTCCCTTGTTAATAACCCCAATTATTGACCAGCAGTCCCCAATGCACCTCTGGTTCAACAATGTTTAAAACTGTACAATAATCAGCACAGTAGATATCACATGTAAGCTGAACAGCAAGGTACATAAACAAATTTAGTTTTCTTACTCAGAGGTATTTTTGGCTTAAATTTGGTAAAAAACCCAAGACATCATGCAGTTTAATAATATCGTAAAATCTGTATTAGAAGCCGCATTCCTAATAGAAGTTGCACCAATTCTTTTTGAATCAAAAATTTATCATTTCTCATATGTGTAGGTGCTCTAACAGAAGCTGTATCCCTCTATTGCATTGTACCATTTTAATAGAAGCCGCGGTTTCTTATACAGATTTCACAGTAGTGAATGCTATTTTCGTCAAAAATTTACAAAATTTTATCATGTCATGAACTGTTTCTCAGCCATGAACATTTTTAAAATGTGCATTTAATATTTTTTTTTTCATTTAAAAACTAGAAAAAATATTTAAAAAAAAAATTGATCATTTTAAACAAATTAAATTAATCAATCTAACAATATAGCGCCCTCTATAGACAATGGTTGTACATGCTTTTGAGAATGATGTCCCGGGTACAAGTGTCAAAACAGCATTGCTAGTCGGTATTAGCCTCAAATTATTTTTTTGAATTTTCATATTGGATCAATCGTGAATGTGCATCAAAACAAAGTAATGAATGGACTGAACGGCACTCGCAAAGTTACAATTCATTGGTGAATGGAATACACGATTTAATAAAAAGTGCTTTAGAATTGTATTGATAGCAAGAGTCATGATTCTTGCACACTAGTTAATACATCACTCACACGATGATCACTGAGAATAGCAATGACTTTTAGAAATCTCACCTGATTCATGTACATATCAAAATAAACTACACAATTCAGTAGTCATGCGAGAATCGCATGTCCTAGTAAGCGTGCTTTGTTGAAAATAAAGAAACTAGTAAATACTAGGTAGGTACTGTAGTTTCTCGTAAATATTGAATGAAAACACTATTAAAGGTCAGCAGTCTGATAAGCCAAAAAGAAGTATTACTTCCCTTTAAATCAATGATACCGACTGGAACAAAAAAAAACACTTACTTTGGTTCTCAATCATACTGCACAATTGAAGGAGTTCAATTATCCACTGCATTGGATCACATGAAAGAAAAATGAGAGTTTTCAATTCAATTGTTTACTTAATCTTTTATTTTCAAGAAACGTCATAATAAAACAAAAGCTTACAAATATAATATTAATCTAACTAAAAACAAAATATAGTTTTCTCTATTATAGACAAAAATTGCACTGAAACATGATTGTTTTGGTTCGTAATAAAGTCATGAGGGGGAAAAAATGAAGCTGGGACAAAGACTTTTCAATTGAATGACATAAAAATAAATAGCGCCCTCTAGTTTGAGCTGATGAACTTGCGAACAAAAATCATTCTAAGTAATAATATTTTGATTACAGTTTTGATTAATGCAAACTGAAGAAAACTTCATATCACGAGTCGCAACAAAACAATTTTAAAGGTCTGTACATATGAACAATGATAATCGTAAAGTAAATATTGTCATTGTGATAACCTCAATGTTACCATGGCAATGTTAAAATAAGAATAACATAATATATAAATAGAAATTCAATATAACAATTTCTTTCAACAAACTGTACAACAGAATAAATAAATGTAGTTTAGTATCTGGATTATTTAAATGTTTTGACATATCCAGTATTTCTAATAAATATGTTTTTTTTTTTAAAAAGAACAGGGCAGGAAGATGATTGGTTGAATTCTCATCAATACAAACAAATGGACTATTCCATTAACAATAGGTGAAAAGCCTTTGAGGGGATGAACTGAAAGCTGAAACAATTGTGCCAATGCTCCATTTGTTTACTCCAAAATACTGGTGAAAATTTATGAAGAAAATGTGTAACAAAAATAAATATTTTTCAAATCAGAAATCGAGTATTTGTTACAAACGATATTGTTTATAAAACATAACTTATTTTGGGCTGGCAAAAATAAATATTATATTCACTGTATCCTGTATTCATGTTGGTTGGTTGGTTGGTACACAACCAGGAGGTAAGATTTTGTGACAATCCTGAGTTGTTTCTGTCTGTCTTATTAAAACATGATATTCAGAGAAGGTATTTCTAATAAAGTATTTGAGAATTGGTGTGGCAAACATTTTCAGGAAAAAAACTTTGCGAAATTCACAAGATATACCTGAACTAGTTTTTGAATCGTAAACCTCAGTTGTATGTACATTGCAAGTTTTGCAATTCAAAATGGCCGTCCAGTAGGATTTAATCACAGGGAAACCATCAATTGAGGCATTGTTTCCACAGAAAAAACATTGAATGCCCAATTTCTATTTGCTGAAATACTTCAATGAGCAATATATCAATAATTTGGAGTGTTACTCAAGATTCATGTACATCTTCTAACAAATCATATTTAACTTGGAATTTTTGGGGGGAAATTAGATTATGAGGTTATGAAACAAAATGGTGCACAAGTTATTTATTGTTCATTATAAGAAGTGACAGTCATCCTGGATCATTCATAATGTGGGAAACCATCATACACATTAGATTCACGTTTTCAATTCATCCCAAAGGCAGTTTTGTACATAGATGACATGATGTATATCCATCTTGCAATGTCTTGTATTCTCACACTATTGTGCTCTGTCGAAGCAAGATTCTGTGTGTCAATGTTTGCTGCAGTCCCTGTATCACATCGTAAGTCGGTAATTTGCTGTTGAAGACCAGTTTCTTGTAATGATCACTCTTATCCAACAGTTCCGTCATATTGGCAAGGAAGTAACACTCGCAGTATTCCATCAAAGCTCTGGCATTGTACAGCTGAAGAAAGATGAAGGTCAACAATTTTAGATCAATCACAGCTTTGCTTAACTTTAGTGTGTATTTTGCTTAATGAAATCATTTTTTCCTATCTTTTATAATTAAACGTTACTGTCAGCCACAAAGTGAAAATACATTTCTGCATTTCGCTAGTGATCAAAGGGACAATGTGTGAATATGAACATTTTATGAATGACAATTACATGTACCACAGTAGTCCCAATGTAAAAATGAACTGACAACATATACAGTGTATAAATTTGACCAATGTGCCTTCTAAGATAATGTAGCATGCCACCGACTCACAAAGATTTGCTGTGACGCAACTAGACTGGCAACATTATTGACACAACAAAAACTTTAATTTTGATATAGTGTTCTTAATATAGTTATGGAATTTGTAATTTGATAAAATGAAATTCACAATTTATAAACAAAATACGTGTAAAAACAGACTTCCCATCAGGCAGCCAAAAGGCAGACACAACTTGAATTTGGAAGATTCCATTTTGACTAAAGATCCCTCTAAAAATGAGCCCTGTTAGAGGGTATACTGAATGGGATCCCCTCTTGTACTAAATTGAGAATTCCTCTTGAAAATTGTGGGTGTGGGGAACAGAATATTGGGTTCAATGCACCCACTGAGTACTTTCTCAATGACCTTATTCTTACCTTGGCATGCTTATATATTTTGACAGCATTCTCAAATAAGAGAAGTTTAGAACATAAAATTTCACAATGTCGTTGTAATCCATCCAAATAGAAGTAGTTGGCAGCAGCCATTACCTATGAATACAGATAGTAGATAGTTAACATATTGAGTAGAGACCAGTAGACACAAATGAGGCGTTAATGAACTCTCAGCTATAGCACAAAAATGAAATCAGCATTTTACGACAAATATTGGATAAATTGAGTGCATTTATCTATTTATCAATTTCTGCTTCTAACTTATCACATTTAACATA